AAGGCATGAGAAAGGGTTTCCATGGAGCCCTCTGGACGCAGGCTCCCCTGGGTGCCTTGTGTAGAAGCCACAGAATTTAGGCCACTGCTGAACTGAGCTGTCTCCTGAGCAAGGTGGCTGTGGTGGGGGGTGGGGGGTGCAGAGCACCCACTGATCTTTCAGGGTGCAGGAGCACAAGCTGGGGGGGCTGCTCACCTCACCCTTCAGCTGGGATTCCGCAGCCTTGTAGAAATTTCATGCTGGGAGGAATCAGAGGAAGGAAGCCCCTGTGTTTCCACTTACAAAGTTACATAAGCTACCTATGTACATTTGAAAAGTGCGCCATCTTAGGAAGATTCAGAGCTGTTCTTGACTCCATGCTACCTAAAGCCATTCACCGTGTCTTCATTCTCACATGCAAAGAGCATTGAGTGTGTGTGCCTGTATGTGAAGCATCTTGATGGTACTTCAATAACGGGCCAGTTATAAAATTCAGTTGTCCCATGGCCTTAGGGCAGAGGCTTATGGATATTCAGAGATGAGAGCTTTAGAAGCAATAACACTGGGTATTTAAGAATTGAGCATTTACTTCAGAAGCAAGAATCAGGGAATACTTGATGGCAGAAAGAGCATCTGACTACTTTGCATGTGAGTAAGTCTGCCGTATAGAAGTACTGCTTCAGGGGAGATGGAGGGTTTAAATCTATGAATTACTCAGGCCCTGAGTAATTCTGCTCCTGCTGCTGAATGTTGCCTGTTCTGACCTCCGCCTTCTCCATCAGAGAGCATATAGGCAGTGAGAGAGGAAGAAGAAATACGCACATCAAAATGTATGTTTTTTTTTAATGCAGAAGACTCAAGTGTGTGACTGCAGTGGGAGTCCAGATCCATGATCTGTGCCAAACTCTCCTCACTTGACGCTTCTGTACAATGGATCGTCAGGTTTAGCAGCCGTAACTCCCTCCCTGTCCTGTGGGACCTTAAAGTTCAGGCTCTTTTGACCTCTCCTCATACCCCAGGACCCCCTTCCAGGCAGCACAGGATTGTCTGACCTTCCTCAAGTTGGGCAGTCACTTGCCAAGGATGGCTGCCTCTGACTTCCCCGCACGCTCCCCCTGTGACGACTCCACCATCCACGGTGCTCAAGGACAGAGGCTGTCCTTCCCTGGCCACACTTGGGGATCACTTGGGGAACTTTTGACAATGTTTCCATGACATCCTCACCCTGTGTTAATGAAATCAGGGTCCTGAGAGGCCTGGCCCAGAGAGACATGTAAAGCCCCCAGTGCCCAGGACTGGGACTGTGCTGGGAGGTGCAGGGCCTGCTTGTTCACCTGTATGGCTTTCTTTCTTTCTTTTCTTGTTTTTTGTCTTAGGATTTATTTATTATTTATGCATACAGAACTGGGGTACAGGCCAGAGGTGCAGGGGCGGTGGGAGGATTCACCAGAGACAGAGTGGGGAGCAGAACAGGCCGACTGATGAAGTACACTGCTGAGGGGAGCAGCGGGCGGGTCA